AACTACTTTGGTTGTAGAACTGCGATTTACGGCAAAAAACTTACTATTGATTGTACTTTTGACCTATGTAATTGAAATCAATTTTGAAGAAAGTCGATTGAGCAGCTCCTACAGTACTTGGCCGTCGTTTATCTGCAATGGCTCCTAAGACATACGAATGAAAATTCAAAAAAATGTCAGATAAAACTGCTTTTATGGTAAAGTTCATCAGAAAACTTGTATTAGTGCAAACGTGGCTAAACCGTTGTTACAATAAATAGAATAAAACAAAATGGTAATCCGCTCAGCAGAATTAGTTTTATGAGGAAAATATACATAGCAAAATAGCAGGACTATGAAAGTCCCATTCACTCAGTTAATTTCTTTGAATGTTATATTTTATTCCCTACTTAAAATACTCGGTTAAGGTCGATTTTATCTTTCATATTTTGTAGAGTATATCAAAATTCTCGTCTCTTTTTGCTGTATCAACTAATGCGCGCGATTCAGAGGGTGTTGGAGTGAACGTCACTTGGTCTTATTCCAATAAAAATGAATCAACACTAGTGACAATGGTTGTTAAAAATTTAGAAAATCAACACTGGGCAGCTCTAGGACTATCGATAACAGGAAAAATGGTAAATAAATTGAACTATGCTTCGGTTCATAAGCAAGGATATTATTTTATTACAATTTTAGGCCGAAACTCATGTATTTGTTGTCCAATATTTTGCTGATAATACAATTGATATAAAGCGAATGATTAATCCACATAAGCATGATCGTCCAATTGACGCACCACCAGGGTCTGGTGGATTATTTACAGTTGTAGGAACAAAATTAGAAAACAATCTTATTACTGGTCAATTTGAACTGTCGAATTTTACTGACTCAACATTTTCTCGACCACAGCAAGAAATAAATGATATTTTGCCATTAAATCAGACAGGTCTTTACCATCCACTTGTTGCTACAGGACGTCTCGATGGTACAAGTAAGTAGAAAATTTCACTCAACAAAACAGTCATCATGAGAAGTTCTTCTTATATGCAGATTGAAATTTTTTTGTTCGGCATAAGAGAAGGGCACAGTGTGCATTTTCTACTGAGCATTTCTCAAATGACTCAGTTGAGATGAGAGGTACTGACACTCGTATTATGCAACAAAACGACATTTCTTAACAAACAGCAAACATATAAAACTTTTTACTCACTATATCCATTCGATACCTGATTTAGAGTATTTCTTTTATGTTTGTATGTGTGAACTGTTTCAAGCCGAAGTAAAGACGCCCATCCAACACCATACACGAATTAATCATGGTGCTATTTCGGATATCGACACTAGTCCATGGTCTAAGATAGTTTCTCATTCATTTAATTTTTCGTCTTTGGTTCGTTGTGGAAAAAAAGGATAGACTTATAAATGAGCGCGTAGTCTCGGACGCATAAAAGCAAGACGCAGCCTTCTCCATTTGAGTTTCGGAGTGGAAAGAAGAAGGAAGAATACCCCGCCTTGCTGCTACCTTACGGTGTAGGTTGCTGTCCGGAGACAGTTTCGCAAGTCCGATAACTTCCCTACAACTAATACTAGCTGAAGCTCCGAACAGAAGGCCAGCTTGACTTAGAGTTCTTTCGCTCAATTGCTTGAGCTCTCCGTACACACTGACTAACCACATACTTGCTACGAGGACTGGTGTATGTCACAACGTAGTCAGTATGCTATTGGACAGGTAATCCGAGGCAAACAACCGTTAATGACTTGCCCCGGGTCATTACATGTCGGGGGGCGCCGAAGCTCGAACACAGTACCTTGGGGGTACGTGCCCAAACAACTTAACCATACAGTCACAGCGGTCTTTCGGAGTAGCTTCGACAACCATCGGATAACTTTAACTAATTCGGTTGCACACTTTTAGACAGTTTTTGGCGAAATTTCAAGCGGCACTGTGAAGTTGAAATGATAGCAAAGCAGAAATAGAAAATTCTATTGCGCTTATTAGTCTTTTGAATGCCGTCAAGGGAAGAATCACCTGCCTGCCTTGCTAATAGAACAATCGTTGCTAGCAATACAGTCAATATGATCTTTAGCTTTATTAAGGTTTTTAGACGCTGAGAGGGACACTTCTCTGATCACTATCTCTTTGTCTCTTTCACTACTTGTTCTAGAAATGCACGAACACACAAACAAAACATCAATAAAAATGTTGGTACAGTTGAATAGTGCAGCATACATTATATATAATTTCAATTCGACACTTGATGATACTGATCGTGTAAACATAATGAATTGACCCATTCATAGATAACCAAAATTCATGGTAATCAAAAGATCGATTATTTACTAATCGTCAATCTTCGTTCCGATCACTTTTAGCATGTACCGAACATAGTAGATAAATCGTTTTCTTCGCATCTATGTTTATTGTTTTGTTAATTAATTTCACTTGACGAAAACCAAATTTGATGATAAATAGTAAACAATTTAATGGAAATAATGATAATTCGGAAGAAAATGTGTTCTAATTTAAGAGTCACAGTTGCAAAGAATTGTCCGAGCCAGACGGCTTGTCCAAACGTAACGCTGTTACATATTTTTTTGTCACACCATTTTATGGCACTCAACGTTTTTCAAACAACTTCATACTTATAGCTTGAGTACTTCTAGCCTTCCTGAAGATACGCCACTTGTAAACAAAGTTCCAAAAGGTGTCTCAGACTCTTAAATCGCATCGGGAGTTCAAACTTGCAGCAGCCTTTGTGCCTCGACTGAGAAATATTTCTCAAAACAAAACGAGCCATTTTGTAGACAATTGAATTCTCTATTCGACACTATGTTTTTAAAATTATTTTACGAAAATTATTACTTTTCCGTTGTTTGACAGTTGGTTGACAAAGTTAACCACTCTTTTCCTCTCGACAACTGTATACATATACTGTTTTGCTACTAAAGCCATCGTATCAAACTGTACGAGTCATCAAAAGTCATTTTCAGAAGTAGCTGCTACTTCTGCATCTAGTACCATACACTGATGGATTCAAACTATTGAAGAGACCGAAAATTAGTATATTGGTGGCTGAAATACAAAAAGAAATTGGCCATGGACAATGTTCAGGAGATATGGATGATTTTATTCAGTCATCAGATGCAAAAATGACGAAATCTATCATAACTAGTTAAAAACTGAAGAAGAGAACAATATTCAGGAGAAGCATTTAGTAGACAATCAGAGATTACAATGTTTTCGATTGCATGAGGAGCTCTGTCACATACCGGATGCGCTAAAATGATTGCAACATTCTTTATTTTGCAGATTAAAAGCGGAAAAATATTCCGTTATAGTATTCTGAACTAAAACTATCAAAAAGTACAAAATCAATACCTTTAATATGAATTATTTTAATAGTATTGTACTCCTGCACTAAAGTTGGAATTCTGTATGCTAATGTCTTGAGGAGAGTTTTATTGTGCATACCGCAAAGATGACAATGGTCGGCATAGACTATTATATCACGTCCAAGACGAAATTGTCGCTTTTTTTAATACCGGAGACGCGGATTATTTCCAGGCTTTTTAATCTTCAGAGAAGTGAGTATTTTTCTCAAAATTAGTCACGGTCACGGTCACGGTTCATTTACTTTTGAGAGGGGTGGGTATATGGTTTTTTTGGCTGAAAAACAGTGAAAATCGCATTTTCGATCCTGAGTCAAAAAGTGAACAACCAGGATTTTGGCTGAGAAAGACTTGATAGTTTGGAAACAGAGTTTTTCCAGACTTTCGATTTCTCATTGTCTTTGTATATGCATACAAACACATTCCTCATAACATCACGGGTTTAATCGTATGGGTTAAATCGTATCATATCGCAAAATACCAGTAATGTCGACCGATTGATTATACTTCATACTAATACCGGTATACCGGTCACCGTTATAATTCATGCTGGTATACCGGTCGCCGTTATAATACCGATACTAGTACACCGATCGCCTTATAATTCATACCGGTACCGGTTGCACCTCTGATTATTATTAGGTACTCCATACGGTAATTTAACGATTGAAGAGTAATTTAACGAAGAGTAATTTAACGATTGAAGAGATTCATGAATTTTCACAGCTTTTCGAATATACATCTGCTTCACCAAATGCCTCTAGTCAGACAAATAATTGTCCACAGGTTGTGTTACAGCAGAAGTAACATATCGGTCAGCAGTCACCACCACCACAACAACGTTATGCTGAGCGATTACTCTACCTACTGAAACACCCTCATACTGATCTTGACCGTCAAATAAACCCAATCGCACATAATATTAAATTATAAATTTATTCGTAAATTACTAACAAAAGATTATTTAGATAGCTTTAAAAACAATCATTAGATTGTAAAACACACATATTCTTACTCACTTCGACGAGCTCTAACCAACCGTAGGTAAATAACTCTAATCAATTACATTGATTTTAATTCTAACTAGTATGCTACAGAGACCGAATCGGGTCAATCAAACGTGACCCGAACAACCCGAACCAATTTGATTCGATAGTTTTTGTAGCGATTCCTGCCATTTTTCCTTTTACGAATGCAAACGTTTGGGTTATTACGCAGTTTTTCTTATGTGAACCTGGATTTGACCCGAAAAAGAGTTTCTGATCTGGCCCGAACGTGACTTGATTTGAACCAGACGCGATCCATTTCGGTCTCTGGTATGCTATTTGGTTTTAAAAATCAATCGAAAAAACTTGGGACTATTGAACATTTCTGTTTTCTACTAACCTAACTACGACAGAGAGCAAAATTCCATGTTAATGAGCTGTCTGCCGGATCATCAGTTAACTAAAAGGGTTATCTTATCAGATAATCATAAAAACTCTCTAGCCAGTCATATTGAGGCGATAGGCAACGCAGTCATTAAAACTACAGAATGAGTCTTATCGCTAAACATTCAAAAATCTGATAGAATCTGTATTAGGCCGGATTATACATTTTTGCGGTTGTTACAAAAAAGATCGAAAACCTCATAACTTAGTAAAAATTGATTCATATTGCTTTAGAACTTATTTTGTTACGACCTCAGTATGCTATTCTGAATTCTAATTAGTAGGCAGGCTATTAGATTTTAAAAATTAATCGAAAAACTTGGGTTTCTAACGGATTTTCTAAAGGCCTGAAGAGGTGGGCGAAATTCATTCAAAGTACAGAATAATTCTCTAAAACGATTAAGCATAATATATAAATTAAGAACCACCTACCACGCGCTATATTTAATGTTTCTTGAATACTAAAATCTACCATACCTCTAAATACACGGTACTCTATTCACATCATTCTTCCCCTTTATTATTTCTTTAAGTCTACTTTATTATCTTGTTCCTATAAGACAGTAAAATAGACTTATGAAATATTGTTTGTTGTTCATTCTACAAAACTTTTTAGTGTTCTCTACTGTTTCCACGTGTCACCTGTTCTGCCTACTATTTACATAGTATGTGTTCGTGTACCTTTTTACTTATACTCTTTTCTTCTTTCTTCTTTCTTCTTTATACACACAAGATGGTTATAAATAAGAGCAGCACTATTGGCATCTCCCAAGGTGTCAACAAGGAGCTATTGCCAAACGCAGAAGGTGTCAACAACGCCCATTGCCACCTTATACAAGCTAGGTGACAATATCCATTCCATATACATAAATCCTGATCGATACTCCCTTGTGCGCTTCTTTTATCTCTTCTTATAATAAAGTTTTAACTAACTATTTTCTCATTTTCACCAGCGTCAAAGAATGACGGTACAGATCAAAAATCGAGCTGCATTATGTTGTTCCCATATTTCTTGGTTTCAAATTAAAAAAGAAACGATGCATTCTGACTTTTCGTTATGGAAGGGAAATGACGTTTGATCAGCCAAAATTAGGTTGGAAATTATAGTACGTGAGAATACTGCACACAAATAAGATTAAAAGTCTTTTTCGGAGATAGAGTGTTAGAAGAGTCTTTGGA